TATCCCCAAAAAATCCACTCAGCCCCGTACCACTCCCCAATGAAATCATACAAACCCTCCAACAATAACTGAATACATTAAAACCAAACTCACATACTTAATATTAAACACAATCCCATAATCCTAAATATACCACATATAGTCCCCTAGAACTATTAACGTCCACTTGTGTACAATGCCTCCAAAACTCAACACACAAATACCATCCAATAGATACACATGGGGTTCCCTACTTTCTCCTAAATACTCCTCAAAAGAATGACCTCACCAACCCAATACAAACCTATACCTGTGTCCCTCTTGATAACCTATAAATGGCATCTGTCTATACCCCCCAATTACAGACACACAACTCACAACACCCCACTACACTGACAATCTGAAGCTCCCAAAGCCCTCTACTCCCTAAATTCTTACCCTAAGTATACACACAGCCCTGATAGTGCAAATATACATAAAACCAACACACAAAGCATTAACACATAACATTATGTCTTCTCAAATGCACAGACACACACACTATGCCACACCAACTATATACTCACGGCTTTCATTGCCCCTCAAAATCGCACATACACGGTTGCTACCATCTTTAAAATTATCCTGAAACATCCATCCCCCCAAAATACACCCATAGGTTCCCCCCATACCGATATGTCCTGATTCAGGCTTTCTCCCCAACCTCCTTCCAAACACAACACACACACACACACACACACACACACACACACACACACACACAACAATCCCTCCAATCCCTGTCCCCACCCAAGGTCTCCAGAAAAAAATACTCATCAGATCTTCTTAAACCTGAATATACAAAGCCAATCCCTCAAACCTCTTAAAATACACAAGAACCCTTCCAAATTCATCAGACACACTCCTAGACCCCCTACATAAATACATACATGTGCAACCGTCCATGCCCCAAATATACATGTACCCAGAACATAAGCAATCCCCAACCCTCAAATGTATGTATTAGATTCCTCACTAAACACTCTGAATTTACACACACCACAGCCCAGCCTGTGATATAGACACTCTATACACCCACACCAACTTCCTACCAGCACTGTGAACATTCAGAGGCACTCACACAATGCCAGTGTGTACACAGAGTGTACACAAGCACACACTTGCACACAGAGCTCCAACCTCATGATGAGAGAACAGCTCTTCTGAGGGGCTGCCGGCACATTCTACAGCATGACAACCTGCTCACACCCAGTCTGGACAGTTCCATAAAGACCTGAGCTCAGAATTCCCACCCCAAGCTCCCACTCTACTTTTCCTAGGGCACCTTTACACGTAACCACGGAAGAGGTGAGCCCACGAAAATTCAGGGACCTCCGCCCCAACCACCTATAAGTCCTCAGTGCTTGCTACCCTGCTCTCTATGTCCTGCTGGCTGTGACCGGAGACAGAGAACTGCCCTTCCACTGCACACACCCCATTACTGGGATCTGTAAGTAAATCTTGTGACTCCATGTCCTTTGGAGGGGCTGTACTGAAACTGTGCCTTCACTTCCCCAAAGTGGGAGTGCCCGTGCTGAGGGAGCTCCCTCCTTCAGCAAGTCACACCCTGCAGGTTCTCAATACAGTGTACCAGGCTCAGGACCCCCAACATACCTCCGAACCTTACACAAGGGCCATCCCAACCTCCCTCAGACACAAGCACACACCTCCAGGCTCCCTGACTTGACACACACAAACAATCACAGCCCCAACACGTACATACACAATTGCCTCCACCTTGAAGACACTCACACACTCGGAATCTGAAGTGAAGTGAAGAAACTGCTATAAGCTGTAACAGGCAGGAGTCTGATGACAATGGCGCGCGTCCTGAGTTGACGAGAGCACCTTTGGGAGAGAGTGTCAGCCCCCTGCTCCCTCAGGGATGGCGGCAACTACAGAGAACAGCGTTGCCCGGGGGCATCCTGTTTCCAGGAAGGCATGTGTCTCATGGGCTGATGAAGGCCTGGCCAATTTCTTCCAATGGTGACAGCTCTGAGAGACAGTATAGCTCCTCAGCTCCAGGAGGAGAAGCAGAGGCTGTCCGGAGTCTGCTGAGAGACCACTGTGCCCATTTCTTCCTGTTTCTACCCTCACAGGCGCTGTTTAGTAAATACCTTGTTTCCTAAACTCTGTGTCTGGTTCTGTGTTCCAAACTATGACACTCTACACACCCAGGACAATTATTTATCAAGCATCAAGGAACACAGTAAAGACCCCTCTCCTGGCTCTTACATTCCAGGGGAGAAAAGAGATAATAAACATATGGTTATATCATGGACTTGGATGCATGCACGTGCACAGTCAAGACTGTGACAAAGGACTCTTGATCTCTTGGGAGGAAGTGGGGGAAGGTGCAAACAGAATTGCAAGCGGGACAGGTTTCTTGCCCGAAGCATGAGAAAGCTGCAGGAAGGACGTAGACCACTGACCCCCAAACTAGAATTCTCTCAGCATCCCCAACTACTAGCAGCCACAGGAGCAGAGTCTGGCCGAGGGTGGAGGAATTTACCTCCCGACGTGCTCCCCCCCCTCGCCCAGCAGAGTCAAAGCCTGCCTCCAGCCTCATCCTGAGTCCCATCTTCTCCCTCCTCTGTTCCTAGTGTCCCACTGACCCTGTTCTGCTTTTCCTGGTCTCTGTAGGTTGTAAGCCTCCTCTCTTGGACCCTAGCAGACATCAGAACAGGGTACTTTGTGTGGAGAAAAGGGAACACTCTTACACTGTTGGTGGGAAAGCAAACTGGTACAACCACTCTGGAAAACGGCATGGAGCTTCCTCGAGATGTTAAAAATAGAGCTACCCTATGACCCGCCAATTGCACTATGGGGTATTTACCCCAAAGATACAGAGGTAGTAGAAAAGAAGGGGCACATACACCCCAGTGTTCATAGCAGCAATGTCCACAACAGCCCAACTGTGGAAGGAGCTGAGATGTCCTTCAACAGATGAATGGAAAAAGAAGATATGTTTCATATATACAACAGAATATTACTCAGCCATTACAAAGGATGAACACTTAACATTGACACCAATGTGGATGGAACGGGAGGGTATTATGCTAAGTGAAATAGGTCAGTCAGAGAAACACAATTATCAGAAGGTTTCACTCACAGAGGAACATAAGGAATAGTGCAGAGGACAATAGGGGTGAGGGGGGACTGAACGAGAAGAAATCATTGAGGGAGACAAACCTTATGAGACTCCTGACTCTGGGAAACAAACTGAGGGCTGTGGAAAGGGAGGTGGGTGGAGGGATGGGGTTACTGGGTGGTGGGAACTGAAGAGGGCATGCGACACGCTGAGCACCAGGTGTTGTTATATACAACTGATGAATCATTGAACGTTATATCAAAAACTAATGATGTATTTATTATGTGTTGGCTAACTGAATTTAAATTTAAAAATTTTAAAAAGAAAGAACAGTGTCCTTTGTAGGAACAGTTCCCTAGTGGCCACAGAGCCACCTTTTGGGTCTCCTCAGATGCACTCTTGTGTTGCTGCAGGGCTCCTGGGCCCCCATGCCCCAGGGCGGTTGAGAGGGTTCAGGTCCTCTCTCCCCAACAACTTCTGGGAAGTAGAGCAAGTTGGAGCTTCTAATGGCCTGGCCAAAGGGGCCACTCAGTACGAAACAGAGGATTCCTTCTGTCCGTGGAGATACGGGGCAACACAGGCTATGTCCCATGATACACACTCCAAAAAAAAACTTGAGGCCCCAGAACAACCAGCTCTGACCAGCCTCAGCCATTCCAGCAATTCCCATTCATTCCATCTGAGTGGGGGGTTTTCAGTGCTGGTTCAATACCACGATATCCCTATTTCTCTCCCTTAAATCTCAGGGTCTACATCTTCCCATCTCAAAGACAGGGCACATTAAACCCAAGAATGTATACCTTGTACACATATTGCATTCTCTTTAGAATACTCTTTAAAACAGAAAAGCAGGCAGAGATCCATTCCGCCGACAAAATGCAATACAGTTAGCCTACCATACCGGCATTTTATTGGGGACAGGTTATGAAGGAGGCAGTGAGAGCTACTAGGAATCCACCCGTACTAAGAAAGTCAGTTCAAGAAGCTGGCAATAGCACCTTCTGTTGGAGGGAGATCCAGGAGACTCACCATAAGGAAGGCCCAGAAATGCTGGGTGGGTCCAAGGGAGGTGGGAGGCAGGAGGCAGCTATGTGGCCAGCTGGTGGCCATGCTGATCACGTGGCTGGTGGGTTTGCAGCTCCACCTGGACAGAGGAAAGAGCATCAGGTTTTCCTTTCAGAGAAATACGAAGCTATGTGCTTCCCAGTCCTAGGAGCTTGCTGAACATTCAGAAAAGAAGAGAGCATTTCTGAAGGGTTTGGGAACATGAGAGCCATATCCATTCAGAGCAGAACATCGCAGTCCTTCTGGGTCACAGCCCCTAGCTCTTCTTCATGGACAAAGCCTCCCCACACCCAGCCTTGTCAGTTCGCTGACCCCTAGGGGTCCTGCCTAGCCCTGAGGACTCAGGTTTCCACTGAGATAGGCTGGTTGAGAACTAGAGATTCCCAACACTCCCCCATGACTCTGGGCAAGTGGTTCTGCAGGCTTTCACCTCCTGGACCCATGTGGAGGGCGTTCTTGCCTACCAGCCATGCTCCAGAAGAGACAATGACGCCTGCAGCTACCTAGGTGATTTACAAGGGGTTGTCTGGGAGAGCACGCTCTCTGACCTCCTCTCCAGGAATCCCCACAATGTTCTGAATGCTGCCTGTCACAGCAACAACACATTTATGAAGGTTCTGCTCTGCACAGCCATGTCCACCAGGGCCATCCATCTTGGGATGCCCTGATGTAAGGACCACAAATCCTGAAGGAATGTCCACCTGCCTAACATATAAACACCCCTGAACCTCCCTGCACAAAAAAACTGGAAATCAACCAAATATATAGGGATCCTTTGGCCCTAAAGAATGGGCCAACCTGCTTAGGAGTAATGCAGTGGTTCGGAATGACAAGGGTCAAGGCACACATACAAGGGCCCAAAGCTCTGGATGCCCCCACTCACACACCCAATGATGCCTGCTTCACACATAGACACCAGTGGCGTGCTGGTAAATACTTAAGAAAATGCTCTCAGAGGAAGGTGGGAAAGACTTCTGCTTGTGGTTTTTACCTGGCATAAATATTCCCAGCATGACTAATTTCAAGCTACCTACCTAAAGTCATTAAACACAGAACTAGGAAAAGAGATGCACCACTGACCATCCCAAGTTAGTACGAGCCAGTTCCAGTGCACCACATCCCCTCTCATATAAGTACGTGCACACAATCCACTGTACGCCAAGTAGGGAAGCAACTCCCACCCCAGATACATACACAAAACACTACATATATCTGTACATATGTGCATATATATACAAATATACATACACGAATACATATGGATCTCCTAACACACACACACACACACACACATATTTCTATCCTCATCCTGAATATAGAGACCACCTTCTACTATCTACTACCAAACACATTCAGACACAGAGTAGCACTACCCAAAGAAACACACTCTGAATACTCCTAACTTCAAACCTTACGAACAAACTTGATAATTCATGCAGTTGGTGCTGGATATTTACACAAATCAGTAGATATACACAAATATATATATACATATACACACACACACACACACACACACACAACACAAAGAAACATCCCTCACAATCCATACATGAAACAACTTCCAAATCCCAAACTATCTGTAGTGAGTAGCAGCCAGCTTTCACACCTGCAAATACTAATAATCATATCACATACCTCTAATACAGAGAAATACAATTCTCCAACTCTCCTGTATGAACACTGAGCCCCATCTCCCCATCAGACACATACATGCTCACTTTCCAAAATACACAAGCTTAATGGCCCCTACTGAAAAATACAAACACACGGCCCCAGCAAATATTCCTCCAAATAACCATGGTCCCTGAATACACACACAAACTCAATACACACACCTCTCTCCACAAGCCCGAAATATACCTAAAATAACCCAGTATGCTACAACTATGCACATTTATCACCCACACCGTTTCACATACACATATGCCACACCACCTCTACAAACATAACCTCACAGTCCCAAATTCTCATACAGAATCAACTCTTCCATCTTGCACAACAGCCCTACAAAACCCGTATCACACATATAAAACACCCACCAGTGCCATAAAACAATTCACAGACTTACCCTCAACACACCAAGACAAACAGGACTGCTGCCAATCAGAAAAAGATACACAGAACCATCCAACATGCTCTGATACACCAATGAGCCTCCTGCAATGCCCGTATATAAACACCGAGCGCGGTCTACCTAAACGAATGCACACTTTCCCAAGCATGCCCCTACCCACATGCACATAATGCTTTCAAATCTGCTCTTACTCACACGGTTCCCCAAGTCATGGGGGGAAAGCCACACGTATCATATTCCACTCAACACCGAATTACAAACCCCTAACCCCCAACTCCTGGACTTTGTATGGACCCTGACCTCGTAACACCCTCCTAACCACACTCAGCTCACTCTCACACACACAAGCTTCACCGCCCCTTTTTCACAAATACCACACATCAGAATATACCTACCGACTCGGACCTAACAAGACCCTCCAAGCCCCACCTGCGCTCCACTCCCCTCGTGGCCCCGCACCATCACACCCGCAACCACGACCGCTCCTCCCCGCGGACCCGCCCCCAGGGCCTCCCGCCCACCGCGCCAGGCCCCAAGGACCACTACAGCTGGCAGCTGAAGGGGAACCCACAGGCCGCCCAGGCCACCAGACCCTCGGGCCCCTGGTACCTGAGACCCACAAGCGCAGACCTCGAACCCCCAGACCCCGGGGACCCAAGCACAGACCCCAGACTCCGGCGCGCGGACCCCAATCCCTTAGACCCTCTGAATTCGAGACCCTCGAGCGCGGACCCCAAACCCTCAGACCCTCCATAACCTACACCCCAGACCCCAGGGACCCGAGCACTGACCCCAAACCCGCGGGTCCCCCGGGGACGCCAGTCAACCAGCGCGGAGCCCAGACCCGCGGCCCCAAAGTACCGGCCACCAAATCCCAGGAACCGACCTCACCCCTACAAGGTCAGGGTGCAAACAACCCACCCGAGGGACCGCGCGACGCACCTCAGCGTAAAGCCAAAGCCGCAGAAAGCGACGGCCATGCCTCCAGTCCCCGCGGGCCACACCTCAAGGGCGCACACAACGCGAAGCAAGAACGCCACAGACCGCGGGCCGCCACCCCTGCACGTCGGGGAGCGCGCGCCTTCATCGTCAAGCCTACCTCACGCAAGCACGAGGCGGCCACGCACGGCCCCGCCCTCAGCCAGAGGACCGTTAGGGAGCCCGGCCCCCGAGCCCGCGAGCCCGCGCAGGCGCACTTCCTCCGGCGGGCAGCCTCAACGGACGCTGGGAGCTGTTGCAGGGGAGGGTCCGGGAGACTTTCAGCCCCGCCCCCCCGGTGAGATGTGCGCGTGCGCGTGCGTGGCGGGCGCGTACGTGTGTGCGCACGCGGTAAGCCAAAACGGGACCTGAGAATCGTGCCAGAGAGACCCGAAGACATAAGTCCAGGAGCCGGGGGCTGCACGGGGACGACTACCCTCCCGCACTCTTTGTGGTCCTCCTGCCTTCTAGCCAGCGCGTGGGAAGTGAGCGCTCACGGCCCTAACATCGCAGACGTGCACTCCCTGGCCTCAGACGCGACCTTGCGAACGACCTGGGACAGGTGCCTCCGAAGCCCGAGGGCCCCGCGGGCGGCCGGCCACCTCCGTCCGGACTGCGCGTCGGCTGCTCTTTCCCGCCTTTCTGCGCCCTCTGCGCCCGGCTGAACCCCTGAGCCCCGCAAGGTTCCATGGAAGCACAGTTCTGGCGGAGAATTCAGACCCGGGGAACACTCGACGCGATCTGCCCTGACTCCATTCCCAGACTTTCCCCGGGGCACAGCCTGTACACAACAGGTTTCTTGGCGGAGCTGCTCAGTGACTGTGAGCGTCGTCCACACAGCTTTCCTCGCAAGGCTCGTCTTCCGCCTTGGGTCGGCACGCGCCTGTTTCAGGTGACCTAGCAGGCGGCATGGCCGCAGTTTTGCTCTGCCCTCCCTCCTCTTCTGGAATATCGAAGAACTTCAGTGCGCGTGAAAAAAGGATGCAACGGATTGCCCTGACTTTGTGGGACATTTTTGGAAGAAGCTTCAGTCATCCCATCTCTTTCCAGTCCGTTGCCAGAGGAGGGCTGTTTCCGGGCACCGCGGACCTCGGGAGCCTCGCACGGCCCACCTCCAAGTGCACGGGAAGAAGACTCCACAGCCCACAAGCCTGCTGTCTCGCCTTCTGCCAGTGTCCTCTGACTGGGTGGAGGTCATGGTCCTTCGCAGACCTGTGAGCCCTGTCCAGAGATGGCTCTCTCTCAGCAGTCACTACAGGCATGCTCAGAGACCAGCACGGGAAGGATTTCTGGTGGTGCCTTCCACGACCGGTCTTCCCAAATTGCATTTGGGCGAATTTGATTCCGTCTGCTTCTGGGCTGTAGGATTTTGAAGCAGTACAGAAATGGTTGCGGAATTGAGACGAGCTCCTTTTCCCACAGTGCCACTTTTGTATCAGTGGCCCCGAGAAGGCTCCTTCAGATCCTACATCTGAGCCATGAGTGAGAATCTTGTGGCAACTTGACGGACTGACAGGACAAGGGCAGGAAGCAGGAAGGAAGTGCTTTTGCCAGGTGCAACAGTTTAAGTCGGCTGAAAATCATTTCAGGCTTCCCAAGATAAAAGCTCAAGGCCTGAGTAATGTCTCCAAGTTGTTTCTTTTTCCAGTCCCCAACACGGATCTTTGAAATTAAGTTCACTGAGATTTGCTTGAATTGCTCTCAGCTCATGTCCCCAGCTAAGATCAAGGAAGCGTGCGTGGAGCAGCTGCGGGAGAGAACAGGCAGGGGTGTGTGTGGAGGGCCACGTGAGGGCTGCGTAGGGTGAAAGGCCTGGGAAGGGTCCCATAGGGCCACACCATGCAGCTCCCTTCCTTCAGGTGGCTGGTGGGACGCTCCTGAAGTATTCCATATAAATATCGCCTAGACCTAGTCACGGGGTGTGTTGGGAGAACACTTAAAATCATGAGGAAATGGGGCAGGAATTGAGAAGTGACTTTTTTCACCACTGTAACACGGGGTGAGGGGGGAGAAGAAGCCCAGGCCCTGGGCTCACAGTCCATGGCCCTTCCCCTTCAAAATGGCCCCAGGTTCCTTTTCACACAACAGTGGTCTTTGGAGTCAACTTTCCTTTGAGGAGGGTGCAGGGAGGCAAGAACTGTTTCAGCGCCTTAACCAAAAGGAGTTCTTGTTCAGTGCCAGTTCAGAGTGGAGCCATCCTTCTAAAGCTCCCTTTCCTTCCCCAACACCCTGCTGTCGTAGGAACTCTGCCGTCATGGCGGTGGGAATGAGGCTTGTCTCCCGAGACATCTGGCTTCAGCCTCTGCAGTTCTCAGCCCTCATCACCCTTGGCCCATTTCCTAACAGTCCTCTCTTCTCACAAAGAAAACACCAATGCTCCTTCGCATCATTGTGTTCCCAATAAACTGACATTGACGTGAACCATGAAGATAAGAGTCAGTGAGATTTTGAAGGGGTGCTACCATGATTCCCACGTACATGGGACCACATTCAGTGTGAGCCTGGATTCCAAAGAACGAGGGTCTACCATTTGCAAGCCCAGAGCGGGCTTCCAGGCTCAGAGTGGCCGGCCAGCCCTTAGAGGAAGCTGGTTGTGTGAGTGGGAAATGGATAGGAGTGGATACCCCAGGAGGCTTTGTCTCAAGGGGCACATCCATTTCATGAGCAGTGATTGTAACAGCTCAAAAAACCAGGGCTATCGGGTCTTTCTGTGCCCCTTCAAAGTAAGAAAGGGGAAGATCTCCTATGCCTTCTTTCTGTCCTCACCCCCCACTAAGCCTAGACACTCAGTGATATATGATGGCTCTTCCAAATTCCAAATCATTCAAAGAGCCCGCAGACACTCTGTGTGTGTGTGTGTGTGTGTGTGTGTGTGTGTGTGTGTGTGTACACACAAATGAGCTTTGCAGTGAAGCCGAGATACCACTCTGGAGTGTTCATATCCAAGACCTTTTTCTCACAGGTAAGGGACTAATAATAACTGGATACGTGACACATTTTTGGTAGAGATGCCAGATAAAATACAGAATCCCACCTAAATGCAGAATTAGATAAAGGGGGGAAAGATCTGCATGAAAAGTATATCTCAAATATTGCATGGGACACAATTCTTGTAAACGCTGATTCCATGTTTATCTGCGATCCTAATTTAATTGAGTGTCCATTATTGTTATTTGCTAAAATTGGCCACCCCATTCGATGGGGCCCTTCGAATTTGAGAGGACTGTAGCACTTCTCCTGGGAATCTAGCCTCCAGAAAGGAGGAGAGGAGCCACATTACCAGGACAAGAACAATCACTGTGCATATCCACACACATTTTGGGACCGCTCTCAACCTTCAACCGGAGAGAAATAGGCTTTCCTTCTTCAAGAAACGAAGAGCGTACATTGACTTTTTGAGGCACAATGCATCTCTCTAAAGATCAAAAACACACAGGTAACAGTGGGTTCCTGGGAGAAAGGGGCCGGGTTGCCAGGAGTAAGAGGTGGGAGGAAGAGGCGCCCCTGCGCAGCCCCTGTTGAAGGAGTCGAGAGCCAGGTAGGAAGCAGAGCGGGTGGAGGGACACAAACCGAGGTCTCTGGATACAAAATCGAACCAGAGGAGCACCGGGTCACACCTTGGTGCGGTGAATCCGGAAAACAGTGTCTGAACTGCCTGGAAAGGCGCGCGCCCCAATTGTGCTGCCCCTGCATCGTTCGAAAGGAACCTGGGGTTCTGGCCCACCTGCCAGAGCCTGACTCATGGAATGTCTCCCCACCCCCAGCCAGGGCAGGGGCCCTCCGCCCCTCCCCCGCCACAGAATGTCATGAAGTCCTGCGTTCTCGCCCTGTTTAGATTCAAACTTTTCCGTCCTTGGCTTGGGTCCTGAGTGTCTCCTGGAGCAGCTCACCGTGTGGGACCCGGACCTGACTTTCCTCAGTGTGGAGGCTGCCAGGCGGCGGCGTCCTCTGCCTGTGGGGATGGCTTTACAAGGAGGTGAGCCTTTGGCTTGGGTTGGACGTGTCAGGGCCCAGGCCACCCCTGAAGTCCTTGGGATTCAAATGTGACGCCGGCCAGGGGCACTTCGCTGGGGTTAGGCAGAGGAAGGGAGCGCACTGGACCCCCAAGGACAGCTGGCCTGGGGGCTGAGAGGCCGGGAGTCTGCAGAAACCTGCAAGGACCTTGGGGAGGGGGCTCCTTGGACGTGGGTCAGGCCCTGTCGGGGGAAACGCCCCGTGTGTGGAGAAAGGATGGCGGCAGTCTCGCCGATTCTCTCCGGGGGCACACGCCTCCTTGGGCAGTTTGCAGGGAGAGGTGGGAGTGTGTCATGCCGGCGGCGCAGGCCGGGGCAGGCGGAGAGGCGGTCTTAGCCAGAACGTCGTCGCATGGGCTGTGTGCGGCCAAGTGTGCAATGACGTGTCCTCCCCGAGACCTGGGCCGGTGGTCCCTCTGAGCCCACGTGTCCCCGGGCCACGTAGGCCTTGTCTTGGATTCAGCAGGGTCGGGGCACCAGGAGGCCTCAAGGTAGGGCTTGGGTTCCTCAGCCGCTCTGGGTCGCTCTCCGTCTTGAGGAAACGCAGTTCCCACCTGCTTCCTCTTGTCCTGTTTTCTGGGCTGCCGACCCTGGCCCTGTGTCCCGGGTGTGTGGATGGTTCTGAGACGGGCTTACCGCAGGGTTTGGGGGGAGCTTTCCTGGCAGAGATCCAGGTCAAGCGTTCTTGTTCGGTTGTGCTGGGCCGGGAAGGAGAGGGTGGGATTCCCAGGCAGCGTCGGGAACGGGAAGGCTGGCGGGAGAGGGGCCCGAATGGTTCAGACGCTGTCTGTTCACAGAGGCCCTACAGGTGCCTCGGAGGGACCTTGCAGAAGGTCCCCAGCTGCCAGGGGGCCTGCTGAGGCCATTTCCCACAGGTCAGGGGTCCAGCCAGGCCCACGTCTTGGGAGGCAGCCCGTGAGGCTGGAGAGTCGTGTCTGGGGGTCCGTGGGTGGTTCTCAGAGGCAGTGCTGGCCCAACCGCCTGTGCAGACAGGATGTCGTGCTGGGAGGGGCGGGGGCGGGAGTTCCCTGCGGGAGGCCAGAGCATGGAAGTCACTCTCGGACACTGGCAAACCGCACCTTTTCCCGTGATGTCCCTCACGCGATGCCACGGGATTCACTGCTCTGCTCCCCGGGGCTAAGGGGGCCCCGGGTCCTCCCTCCCGGCTGCGGGTTCTCTGACCCCATCCGGCCCTTTCCTTCTGTCCACAGCATCTGCAGTGCTGGGACCCCATGTGGCCACGGACCCAGGAGCCTCCCTGTCTGCTTTCATGGCACGGCCCTTCCCCGCACCCACTGCCGGCGCCCGTCACCGGCCACTCTGGGGGCAGCACCTGCCGCCCCTCAGGACCCCGCCATTCCCTCCTGGTGGCCCCCTGGTGCTGCCAGCTTTCTCCAGGACTCCGCTGGTGGCAGGAGAGGCTGGCCTTGGCCCCAATGGGACTGGGACCTGCAATGTCATCGTGCAGGTCCGCTCAGAACAGGGGTGCTCAGTGACCCCCCAGACTCAGACCATCGTCCTCACTCAGGCCCCCCTCAGCTGGAGTGCTCCAGGGGCCCTCTGTGGGGGTGCTGCGTGTCCCGCACCCCTCTTCGTGGCAGCCTCTGCGGCGGAGACCAGCATGCCTGCCTCGGCCCATGGGGGCTCCCAGGCTGGCAAG